AAATGGCTGAAATATCTCAACACAACTATAAGGCCCAATAAAAAAAATTATTAGTTTATCACCCTCGCGCGCCATGCCTTCTATGATACTGGGAAAAAAAAAAATTTGTGAAAAACATTTTTTTTAATTTTATTTATTTATTTTTTTTTTTTTCATTTATTTTATTAAATAGTTAAGTAGATATTGTTTGCATTATCTAGATCATGTTTTACTTTGAATATCAATGCACCAGCAAACAACCCAAGGGTAATATTTGGCTTTAGCAAAATAAAAAATAAATAAAAAAAAGCCTCCCTCCCTCATCACTTTTCCTGCCCAGATAGGGTGATAAACTAATAATATTGTTTTATAGGGCCTAAAGACAAATGGCATGATCAAATTCTCAAGCCAACTGTAATATATGTTAAGTACCCTATTGGTAACACAGCATCGACTATAGCATTTGAAAATTGCATGGTTATTAAATTTTCAGTTTAATATCAAACAGGAGTAATTAGTATCGTAGTTTTGCTATGTACTGTTGCAAAATGACTGCATGAAGGAGTCATTAATGCATAAAAATTGGCCACAGGCCACACGATTAAGGAAATGGTTTTAATAATTTTAACAACTAAGCAGTATCAAAGTTGATAATGCATAGTCCCTATCTGTAAAATTCCCTATGTAGACCCCCTCTATTTCGAATCCTGGATCCACCACTGAAAATATTATATACTTTCTATTTCATATCAAAAGTAGTTTCAATAGTTTTCCTGTTGTTTGTAATGAAAAGGCCTTTAGAGAGATCCATAATTGGTAATGATGATCTTGTTTTAGCTTCTACTTCCTCCACTCTGGAATTTTCTTTGAATGATAATTAGTAAAGAAATATTGATTAATTCAAATTTCATTAACTTTGGTAATACTGTATGTAATTTTATTTGCAATATTATTTGGAAAACCTCATTCAATTTTTTACCTTGAATTACCCATTTAAAAATTTATCAACTTTCAATAAAGAATATATAAAAAAAAATTATGAACTTTCAATAAAGACATATATTTTTTTTTAAATGTGAATTTTGCTAATTTTAAGACTTATTGTTTACAAATAATTCTATAAATGATCACCAAGTTTAAGTAAGTATCAAGTACTCTTTATTCCAGATTAATTCAAACATCCAATGAAATTTGAATATCAAGTAACATGACAAAAATGAAGAACAAAGATGTTTAAAGGAAATGGAAACTGGCATTCAAAACAAGCAGAGCTTCTACATGAATCCCTGTACAATTTTTTTTATATCTTTAGTCAAATTCACATCAAAATCACAGCCAAGGCTGAATTAATTGATATTTACAAAATAAGGCAAGTAGGCAATATAAAAACATCAATCAAACACCAGCACAAGACATAAAAATGGAGATAAAAGTAACATAAAAAAACTTTATAATTGGAAACATTAGAAGTACACAACAGGTTAAATGACATAAACGTAATAAAATCGATTATTTTAATCATTAATTATTGAATCATAACTAAAACCGAATCATTATTGTAATTATTAAATTATCAAATATAAAAATTTAATCATTCAAACAAAGCACACGAAAATTAAACTTCAATTAAAATTACATCAAAATTGGGAAAGAAAAACGTGACATGAAAAAGGGGCCAACATTTAAAGAACATTTAAAGAAAAAAAAAAAAGAAGACATATTTATTTAATTGTTGTTATCATTGTTATATTATTTTCATATACTGAAGTAATCATTACTATAACAATTATCATTAATTATTAATTAATATAATATAATTAATAATAACAATTATACATATATCATTATATACAACAGTCTATAATGATTATATAATGTATCCAGTAAATTGGCAATTTGCCTTTATAGGATTCTATTTTAGCCCAAAACAATAGACATCTTAAATTATACAAAACCTAAAATACTGTATGGGGCTTGTCATGCCACAACCAGCATCGGTAACTAAAACAAGAAAATTGACGTTTTGATATCATATTCTCCACATTTGAAGCTTTCATAATGATAGGTCACTTACTGGAATCAACATACTAATTGCAAAAAATTATTAGTAAAAGTATTATGGCTTATCTGTACTAAAGTATACAAATACAATACTTTCACATTCTTATTAGGCAAATTACTCAGTTTAACATTTAGCGACAGTATGCTGGTTTTTGGATAGCAAGCCTCAGACTTTTTTGGTACAGTAGTAACCAACTTGGAAAACATTCTGAGTAGCAGATTAAAAGTTTTGCAAATAAGAATGGGGTCCATTTTCTGATTATTAGGCCAGTTTTAAACGACTATTATTCCAAAACTATTGACCCTCAACTGCCTTTATTTCAAGTGAAGAAATATTGATCTAGGAGCCTTATTGTATAGTTTTAGTTATTGATTATTTTTTCTCTATTTTGTGTTAGTGAAATGGAAACACTGTATAGTACAGTAGATTTTGGTAGTATGCTGTGTACAGTAAAGATAGCAGCTACTTCTGGAAAATAAAGTACTTGACATTGTTTAATAACATCCTAAAATGGTACTGTAACCTTTTCTCTAATAAAAAGCTGCTTAGTTTGAGAGATCAGAAGTTTGTTTTTTGTAAAACCTGAATAAACCTGTAGAATTGGCTTTAATTCATTGTCATGGCCTATTTTGAAAAGCTTCAAATGATTTTTTTTTCTTTCTGTTGATTGTAAAAACACTATTTTGTATTGAGGAGTACCAGAAAACATTTGAACCCTACCATTTGGAAAGTCAATCAGTTTTATTTTTAAACATTCATAACACATTATGAATTTTATGAAAATATTGATGTGAAATTTTTGATAATAATGCAATAGTATTATAACTATGGTACTATACAATATAATGAATTCTGTTCCATCAGAATAGTTACCTAAAATTCGTAGTTTAATCTTCAATAGCAATTCCATGAATATTTAATTTTTTAATATTATAACTGCGAGTTCTCTCAGTAAACCTTATTACAATATTTTTAATTATATTATTTTTATTTTAATATTTTTAAAGTGCGATCATATTGTTTTCGGTTTAAAAGCGAAATGTCACTAACCATTTAAAAAATACTTAAATAAAAATAGATGATATTCTTTTGTCTCGGTTTAAAATTTACATATTATAAATATGTAGTAGGGAGATATATTCATTTTTTTGTTTTTATTGTGTAACAAACTTCCCACTGGAAGGCATGTAACCTGAATTGCCAGTATAATATTTCAATTCAGAGAAATAAAAACAATACAAGGTTAGTCTAAAACATGGTACTGTGCATTTTTTTTTATAAGATCCAGTATAATTTTGCCTAGACTCACTGTTCTTATTTTTTTTCCTCAATTTCAGCCTCAAAATGTTCTTATTTTGTTCTTATTTTACACATTTTTCAAAATAGGAAATTAGTATTGCACAGCAGTATACACTGTACATAAGTGTAGGTAAAAGTGGCCCCTGAAAAAGCCGCTGAAAAAAATGGCCCCAGAAAAAAGGCTCGGTAAAAATGACCCCAAATGACAGGAGGTACATCTACTATACAATGTATTACATAGTCATACCTACTCCACATAAGGTATAATTTTTTATAGTTTTTTTTTTTTTTAAAGAAAATCTCATTTGTCATTTTATCTCAGCCTCAATTTGTTCTTATTTTGTTCTTAATTTTTAAGCAATTTCAGTATATAGTATTATTATATAGGTGCCAGTTGTATTATATGATAGTACCAATTGTTTCTGGTATTATATAATACAATTGGTATTCTATTTTTGATAGTGTTACCTTACCAATGGTGATTACTGTTTCACAAATTTTAAATGGGGAAGATGGTGTGTGGAGTTTACTATATGTTGTTACAGTCTATTGTACAATAATGTGCGATTATGGAAATACAGGTCTCTCTCCAATTACAGTCCACTTTTGGGACTAGGGTTTCCATGGTTTTTAGCAGCTTTGGTCTCTAATGAGAATAATAAAGATAAAAGACATTTGTGAATTTAGGACCACAGAAAACTGGTCTTTAATTGGAGGTGGTATCTAATTGGAAGGGTCTTTAATCGCAGGGAGACTAAAAGGCGTTGCAAAAGAAAAAAAAAGGTTCTGTATTTACCAGATATTAAACTAGTAAACTTATTTTGATAATTATGAAACATACTGTTTCTCGGAATATTATAAAGACAATAGATTTTTCTTGTATATTTTGTCTATGGAAACCTGGATGCTCAATGATGACACGTAAAAAACACATTTGAAATGCAATGCAGTTTGACACCATGTGGATATTGTACATTTTTGCTACGAACAACTTGATTTAATTGACTATCAGGATGAAGCAGTGGCTAGGTCACACTTTACGTAATCTAATATTGAAACGATCTTGGTGTTTGGAGCCTACGGTTCTCATGCTGTCAACCGAACGGGCTCCTCATTGTCTAAGAAGCCGTCCATATTCTATTAATTGTATTTTGTTCATGACTGGAATTTAATGTAGGAAAATAGAAGGCAGTTTGGGGATTTGACAACTCGTAATCAAATAACGATGCGAGTCTAATGTGCTATCAATCTAGTTTCTTGCCAACGGTGAATGTTGTAATTTTGCTGAAACCCTTGAACACTCAACAACTGAACTTGCATTATTCTAGAATTTTGCGTGTAATTAGCATTTTTATTTTTTTTCAATGTTTTTAACATGCAGTACTTCAGACAGAAGTGTGGTTGACTGTTTCTTACTAAATTTTCAAGATGAGAGGCTTAAGAAAGTAATCAACTATTCATATAAAAGAGAGTATTGTTCTCTATAGTCATTGAGAACGTTATCAGATATTTTAAAGTTGTTTATCTCTGTTCAGTTGTTCACCTCACCTCCGTCTGAATGGTAAATACACAAACCATGGTAATGGTGATGCGTAGGTGTGGAATTTCCTCCAATTGTGTCAATCCTTCTTACTTAACACTTTAACTTTTTGTCTTGCAGGCGAGCGTATTATCTTTCATAAGCTGTTATTCGCTTTAGCGTGTATTCAACTCTCCATGGTTTTGCGGACGAGGTAGCTAGTCCATATACATGTTCCAATCACACAGACCGATGAGTCGTTAGGGAGAGTAGACCAAAACCAAAAGGCTTTTTCCAAGGGCACACCCTGTTACCATGGTCACTCTCATCACGGAGAAACTTCAGAACCAATCTTTAGAAGATGTTAACATTCCAGATTATACTCACGTAAGCTACCCGCTTTTTTTCCATAATTTGAAAAATGTTCCTGTTGTTCCTTAGAATACAAAAATGGAACACAATCCACAACAAATAGATATTTTACTATGTGAAACGGACGATGTCTCTGTAGGGACATAGGCTCGTGTTGGGCTGGAGTGGGCGGGTGCAGAAATTGAGAATGCGAAACTAAAATCCTATTCCAGTGAAAAACTAAAAATGGCCATTTTAATTATTTTAGCCCACTTGGTGGAACTAATTTGCCACTAGGGGGATGCTTCTCTAGACTGCACATGCCCATGCTATGTGTATTTTATTTATTGTGTAGTCAAATAATTTTTAACACTGCGTACTTTACTGTGTATAATTTGACAATTTTCATTTTGAAAGTATCAATATAATAATAAAAAAAAGATAACAAATTATATACTTAATTTGAATAAAGATAATGATAAACAATGTAATAAAGATAAAAAATAATGATATAACAACGCCAATTTATAAACAAACAAACAAACAGAAAAAGTATTTTTTACAGTTTTTGTTGGTTAAATCAAACAGAAAGAGAAAGTTATTTATATCAAGATTATTTCTTCTCGTAAGTAAAATATGGTTATTTTGCCTTCGCAAATACTGGAAAATTAAAGCTTAAATCAATTTTAGTTTGCAAAAGTGTTAATATATCGGCCATGTTATTTTATTTCCCTCGTCAATATTGTGAAAATAGATCTTGTATAGGTGTCAGAATATTTGCTAATGTTGAGTTGATTCTTCTAGAGCTAGCTAATGGCTTAGATAAGCTCACTCCTCAAGTCAGCTACCATCCATGTTATATTATATGTGAGGTGAACTGTAAAAAGATATTCTTAGCAAATAACATTAAATAAGCCTCTCCAAGGCCTATTGATCACATGGAATACTGTACTCAATGCCCTGTATTAAACCAAAGGCCTGCGATCACAGGAAACAGACATCCTCTCCTATTCGAAGCCTGTGACTTGTTATACCATGGACACCTCCATGGTTGTAGTTTATACCGCCATGGTTGTAATATAGCACTCCAAAGTGTTGCTATCAGATGAAGCAGAGTTTTGAGCTTCTAGTGTCTCTCCTAAGGTTAGGGATCTAAGGTTTAGTCCTACCCAGACTATCAAACTTTAGTTGACAAAAACATGTGAAATGCCTAAATATGGTCATAATTACATCACATGACCATATATAAGCACATCATGACCATATATAGGCACATCATGACCATATATAGGCACATCATGACCATATATAAGCACATCATGACCATATATAGGCACATCATGACCATATATAGGCACATCATGACCATATATAGGCACATCATGACCATATATAGGCACATCATGACTGCATATGGGCACGCAACATTTTTTTTGTCAAAGAAAATTTGATAGTGTATACAGAGCTTAAGACTTTATAGACAGCGTAGCTTCTCCCAATGCCTAGTAACTGCATGGTAACTATTTGATAGATTCTCTCTCATTGGTTTCAGTCCTCCTAAAGCAATACCGTAGTTATGATATGAGCCAACACCCCCTCCCCGCACCCAATATTACATTGAAATTTAGCATCAAAATGCTACCCACACCACATTATGTGCCCAAGACACTAAGGTAGACTCTGTTGTCTTCATCGAAAGGCAACTGGAGCTCAAAAGCTACATTAAATAAATAATTACCTGAAATTATAGTTTTTAAATTACAGTAGTTATTATTATAGATAATACAATTTCAATATAATTTACATACTTCATTTTTATGTATTTTTTTCTCTGGCATTGTATAATGCTTTTTATGTTTGATCCTTTCAATAGAGTTTGTATAGTGTAGTTTAGAGGCGGGCATGTAATTTAAGGGGATTAATTTTTAGTTGGCAAACACTGTTGATAAATTTTCATTGAACAATAGATGACCTCATTTGTTTTGAAATTAGAATATCGGCTGTATTCTAAAACTGGAAGCGTTATAGTCGTAAACTCTTTATTATTCTCGCCAGCAAGGTCGTTTAATTTGTAGACTTCTATAACAAAATTTCATACATGATGCCAGAATTATGGAAATAATCTCTTAGTCGGACTAAAATAACAACTCAATTCACCATTAATAAGTTTGGCAATTGATTATAGAAAATCTATGGCCTTCTACTGCAGAAGTTTTGGTTATATTGATTTCACATGTATGTGCATGAATGGTAAGCTGTTGAGGCAAAATAAGTGTTCAAGGCAGGTATTCTCTGCATGAGGGCTTAAAAAACCGACTCAGTTTTTAAGGGCTTTTAGTATCTGATATTTACTTTATCATCACTTGATCAAAAGATTACTTCAGGATCTTGAAGTAGAGTGCATGGTCTAGGAATTGGCTGTAAACATGAGCTTAGGGAATATAGAATGGAAGTCTACCATTGGCTGTGAAATAACAGGCTAACCAGATTCAACAGTGTCTGGAAAGCAAAGCCTATAGATATATTAATTATTGAAAATGGTTTATGGTACAAAGAAATGTTAACTGCCTCCTCCCTTTATTTTTTGACTAAATTTAGACAATTATTCATGTGTCAAAACAGAAACAATTAGCAAAGACCTAGTTATATTATAATGATCTGTCCACACTATCAAATTTTCTTTGACAAAAAACTGTTGTATGCCCATATATAGTCATGATGTGCCTGTATATGGACATGATGTGATGTAATCATGACCATATTTCAGCATGTCACATGTTATTGTCAAATAACATTTGATAGTCTTGATAGGACTTAGGACTGTGTTCATGGTGGCCTTCATTGTGAAGAAATAAGAATAAAGGAGCCTCAAATATATAGAAACTATACTGTAGTACTGTATACAGTATCGGGTTCAATTTCTCTTTTGCTTGAAGTAATCCAACGAAACACAATGAGGTTCTTTTTCAATACTCATTTAAGTTTAAAATGTGAAGTCTTCGGAGACCTTCTCTTATTATTTCTGGCAAAATAATTCCTTGTGATGAATTACTGTATGCTAAATTATTATTCTACTGGTCATATTTTCCATATATTGTCAAAGGTAATGGTTGATTGAAGGACATTTTTGTCAGGTTATGGTCTACCCCTAAGCTTACTGAAGACCTTGTAACTAACAATTATGGTGATTACATGCTTAGATGCATTGGATGGTCAACTACTGTGCACAAAATCAATTAAAACTTTGCTAATCAATCATGAAACACTCCATACTGATACAAAGTTAAATTTCTGATATCATGTAGAAAATCTGTTCAATTGAAGGCCAGGCATGCACAAATGAGAATTAATCAGAACTAATATATTATTTAGTCAGTTCCATCCAATCATTTTTTCCTAACAAAATATAATGTGCATATTTTTTTGATAATTTCCAGTAGTATTTATTGGTCAAAATACTTATTTTGTCTTTAGAATAAAGAAATAGTGATAAATAAATAGTATAAAAATTTCTAGGGGAATTATACAGTCTTCTTCATTTTTTACGGTTTCGGACATCCAAGGTCTAACTACTGTATTCTGTAAAAAAAAAATCAAAGAATACTTCTACTGTATTCTGCCAGTACGCCATGGTTTAAAGTATCGCAAAGTAATGTATATGGCATAATTGAAAGGGAAATAAATTGTACCTGAAATCTAAGGATAATGGTTCAATTCCTCATAAGCCTAGAATTCTCCCTTCTCAGTTGTTCAAAACATGGCTGGAAATAATATTTTTCTTGAAAGTTTTTTATTTCTCCACATTCAACAGCAAGTACATTACACTTGCCACTTTCAGGATAGAATAATGTTTTATAAACTGTTTAAGTAAAAAAATATTAATAATTGTTGCCTTTTGACTTGTAGCTGCATACTTTTTTTAACAAGTTTACAATAAAATGTATTTTTAATGAAATAGGAATGAGGTGCTCAGGTTAACAATGTTGGTTCAGTGTCGATACTTTACTTTTATTAAAGGGCTTTTAAAGTTTCTGCTTCTTTAAACCAGAGAAATGTGTGTAATACCCCTAAGGGACAGACAGTATCAAGAACAGGTAATGAACGAGCTTCATATGCAGCCATTTGCCAAGTCAAGAACCGGCTTAAAATACCATTCACTGTAGTCTGTTGTCCTTCACTGGAAAGTACTCAGATTTAACCCATTTCCACTCTTTTCATAAATTGGAAAAATTGGTATTTAAAAAATAATTGAGAATCACCTGTTAATAATTATGCCTTAAATTGTAAAGAAATCTTTGGGAAATATTATGAAAAAAATGTTGGATATGCTTAGAAGAGCTGGATGTAAAAAATAGATTGTTTTTAGTGATATGTCCAATTACAGGAAGTTTAAAAGTACTTTGCGCGGTCACTAGTTACTAATTTAGTTGTATTGCTTAAATTTAGGCCAGTGAAAAGGAGAGGGTGCATGGTATCAAACATGAAAGAAAAACTGAAAAGATTAAAATGGCATTGCAAATCTATGGTAAACCTTAGTGACTATCAGTCATACAGAAACTAGTTTTAGGGGGAAAAGATAAGAAAATTTGTCAGCAATTCTGATGTATAATACTTTAGCTTCACCTGTAGTACCTATAGTATTGTGTGTGAATTGTTATCAAAGGTTTGCATATTTGTTCTAAAAATGTATCCCTTAGATCAGGAAAGCACATGCTGTTAAGAAATTTGACGCGTGGCACTTGCACCCCTACAGAGGAGATTGCGTGACACTTGAGAGCGTGCTCAGTCTGCTTACGTAAACACAAATACAATAACAACCCTGGTTCTTAAAAACTACTAAGTAGCCTGTGCCTCCTTCCGCTTTCATTCATTTGTTTTTTTTTAATCTTTAAAAAACCAGTATTACAATAGCAATTGCTTTCCGAATGGCACAATTATACTTTTGCTTATTTTCCCACCATGTAGTGCAGTGTACAATAACGAAACAATACAATGCTGATATTCCAACTGTGAAATCTTTAGTAAAGAATGGAACT